GGGGAGAGGAATGGCAGGACATCCATCCAGTCTGGTTTAAAACGCTTCCAAGGCTCGAGACCAGAAGTGAGGAGAGAGGAAAGGCAGGAAATCCATCCAGTCTGGTTTAAAATGCTTCACAGGCTTGAGACCAGAAGCAGGGGGAAAGCTGAATCATTTCCAACTCACTTATTGCTTTGTAACAGAAATGGCAGAAAAAGCTTCGGAAGGGCAAAGGGACTTCCGGTTTCCTTAAAAACTTCGAAATCGCTTCAAAAAGCAAATCTTTCCAAATTTATTCCTAATTACGAAGATTCCGACCAAACCTAACCATGCCTAGTATTTATTGATCTACTCACGTTACATGTTTTCAAACTTTTAGGTAAACCATAGTTTGGTGTTATCCAATAGGAAAGCCTGTCCATGCTCATTATTTCTAATATTTTATGTTGCCAATCTACTATCGATGGTATTTCTTTTAATTTCCAGTTCTTTGCATACACCATCCTTGCTAGAAGCTCCCTCCATTTTAAATGACCTCAGATATTTACCTTAAACATTCCCAACTCACAAAGCAAACATGTTGCTTTGCAGCACATCCAAAATGCAAGACGTAGGCAAGCTTTAGAAATGGTAGGGAAAGAGTACTGCTCATGCGCTCTGACCACTCGCCCTATTGCCATCTGGGTCTGCATTAATTTTATATGGCTTTTTAGACCGTATCCCAGCTCCTTTGGAATGTTATCTTCATTAAGCTAACAGAGACCATAATTTATGTGCCAAATGCAAATCAACAGCATTGGATGAGTCTGCAGGTGGCAAAGCCTGGGAAGGAGGGCTCTGCATCTGCCAAACATATCCTTGCTTTGAGAGAATGGGCAGGATTTGGGGAGAATTAGCGCCACCTGAATCTTTGCAGATGGTTCTGACGGAATGGGCACAACATGCCTTGCGGGGAAATGCACCAAAACGAAGGCATAGAAAGCCAAACTCCAAGGAATGATAACAGAATTTATAAATATATACATACTAGCTTGGGTACTTGGCAGTGCCCTGGGTGCTTTGAAAAATG